TAAGTGAAGCAACAGAGAAACAATTACAGAAAGAAACCTCAATTGAAGATTACCCAGCCATCTCACAATAACCTCAATCTGTAAGTAGCTCAGAGGAAGAATGAATTCACAAGCTGAGTGGAACTCCAATTCGAGAAATCGTCACTCGAGGAACCGAACGGTCCAAACTGCTAACCGAGAGGTTGCGGGGTTACGTGAGATGCGTACTATTGATGACTCACAATAAGGATAAAACAACCGTACAGTTCTTCTTGGCTTTACAACATAGACTGACTTCACTGACAGTTGAAAAGTACCAAGTTTCCTCACACGACTATCAATATATACTTGAATTCTGCCCTGATTCGAAAGGGTGACCAATCATATTTCGGCTCCATCAGACAGATCATTCATTTCTATCGGTAAGAGTCTTGTGATTATTCTAATGTAAGCAACTCCCCAATGTTGAATAATGCTCACGTTGGGGGGGGGGCAAAGAAGTAGCAATGAAATGGAAGAGAGTTATGTCGAAGTTATCCAGGGTAGTGGAATAAACACAACACTTATCAAACGATAATGAAATGTGCGTACTATGTAATTCCTGATCGTGTTTTGTGCTAGTGTAACTTATTGTTTTAAGCGACCCTTCCAAGCGACTCTTTGTGGTGTCCCTAGTTTTTTAATTACCGGTCCTACTATTTTCTGTGGCCCGTCTTGGAGGGTAAGACCACCTTTATGAAGGTAAAATTGCGGGTTCTGTAGAAAATGGACGATAGGCTCTACATAAAGTTTAGAAACCTCTACAAATCTGACCGGAACACTTGTTGAGAACTGCTTTGTGTAATGGTAGATTTTTGATGGTGGCGGGGACTGCCGCATTTGAAGAATCGGCTGGCATGCTTACAGGGAGATTAGACGTACAGTGAGGTTAACACTATTCGTACGGCGGTACGGATCCAAGCAATTATTCCCGTTGAAAGAACGGTTTGCGAAAGAGTTCACCCGCAGGAGCACCTGAGCCACCGGCAGAGTGACGAAACTCAATAGCCACAGTCCAAGAATTGCAGCAGACTAGGAGATCTGCCTTTACTGGAAGTCTAGAGTCACTAAGGGTAAAGAAACATTCAAATAACACATAGAGTGACCCTCCAGTAAACAAAATTTCTATGTCGGTAACTGTGGTACGTATAGCTTCAAATGGAGAGAACACAACCGGTACGGGCCCACCAGGATAGCCCCTAAGCTATCGCTTACTTCAAAACTGTAAGGCCAGGCATCAACCCGACCTCGGGTGGCATACCGTAAAGACGTCATAGACGAACGGGTCACATACATTTACCCATCTGAACACACGCTACTGATTTTCTCGAAAATTCAGACCCCACCCGAATAATTCAGCTTCAGCATCCCCGTCGCTGTAAATTTGCTGTCTCACTAAAGAAAGCACAGAGAGCGAGTTTCAATCAATCCGACGGTTACACACGAATGATGATATCTGGGAGTAGTCCGCGGTTGAACTGCTGCCGGAAGAAGGGGAACAACGTAAAGAACTTTTAGCTTATTGCACGTGAAATTTCCGGCATCGCATTCGTTTGGTTGCGCTCCGTTAGCTGGCGTTTAACAATACATATCTCTGGCCCCAAGCAGGCTTTGAGCACAAGAGACCATCCATCCAGTTTGTCTAGCTCGCCGACTCTGACTCGCGTTCTGCGGTATGCCTCAAATAGCGGTCAACGGCCACCGCACTTGAAACCAAAGAGGACTCGATGAAGGCAAAATCCACTCTCATACACACCTACCTGTTCGGCCAAATGGACCTCAACTACATCCAGATAGTTCGCCAACCGATCGTGTTGTGCGTAGAAGTCATGTTCTTGTTGTTTTCGACTGGACGAGTGTGAGTGTTCCGTGGCGAAATCACACCCATTCAGAAAGGAGGTGATGTTCGGGAGCAATCCGCCAGTGGCCGTGCTATCACGTGGGTGCAGTGGGATAACTTGGGAGAATGTTTTCGGATGTGCGAGAGTGAACCCCTGTTCGAAAAACACCAAAGGAATGCTGTCCAGGGACTGAGGCCGGTTGGTATTGGCATCTAGGGAAAAGAGGAATAGTGGTTTGGATATGTCTAACATAGGAACAGACATAAGAAAGACGTATAAGGCGAAGACAATAACTTACCCTCCGGCCACGCTATGGGCGTAGTTGTGGGAAAGTTTCGCGATGGTGTCGTACTGCGAACAGCTTGAAGTAACACGTTGGGTTTCGAAGATGACAAAGAAGGTGAGGACGTTGAACTTGCCCAGTTGCCCCGAAAGCCCAATTTGCTGAGATAATGTTCAAAATCTTTCTCGGTTATCACAGGAAGCGTGGGTGAAGGGAGTACTTCGGCTCGTTCGAACTGTTCACCCCAAGTACGTGAGAAGATATCGGTCTGAGACAATGACCAGAACACAAAAGGGAAACGGGAGTGGTTGAAATATTGGGGGAGGAAATAAGACAGCTGATTCGCGCATGATATACCTTTGTAATGTACTACTCATAAGGTTGCTGAAAATCCGTCGACAGCCCACGACCAGTTTCGCCCTTTTTAGAACCATCCACAGCGTTTGGTGAGGGTATATGTCACATAGAACATCTGTCGAGCGCCTACGAATGCCTATGCTCACCGCCGACCAGTCAACTGACACAACGGTCATCTGGATCGCGCGTCATTCTTGCACGAGAGTCACTTCAGATGGGTGTAACGAAGAGCATACAACACACATAGTTCTATGCTTGGATGTATACTGGTATCTAATCCGCTGTCCACAGGTCTAGAGTCTCAATCTGTTTAACATGTAAAGATGGAAGAAAAGAGCCACTATCACGGAACCCTTGTAGAAAATGGCAATAGAAGCCAAACAGTATAAAAACAGGACATGCACAAGTCTTTAGAAGTTGGGGGTCATAAAAATGAGCGAACAGTGATGGGGTTCGACGGTTCGGGGAAGAAGTGGGAGGCGGAAGGATCGGTTTGACAACAGACGAGAACAACTTGTCGGGGATGGTTTCAAGAACAAAGATGAGTGGTAGGAATGACAGTTCGACAAATGGATGGATGCCTGTTGTTTTCAGAACGTGTGGCCATCCCAAAGTTACAACCAGCCGTCCTGAATCAGTTCCATAAAGGGCACCCGGGAACAAACAGGATGAAAGCCCTTGCTCGGAGTTATGTCTACTGGCCTTTGAAGGACTCCCAGATTGAACAAGTCGCGAAATCTTGCCTGCGGTGCGCTGAAGCATCCAAGTCACCGGTGAAAACCTACCTACGCTCGTGGCCGCAACCGACCGAACCCTGGTCTCGTCTTCACATCGATTATGCAGGTCCAGTGGGTGGCCAACACTTTTTGGTCGTGGTCGACGCTTACAGTAAGTGGCCGGAAATCTTTCCGGTGAACAGCCCCACAACTGCCATTACAGTCCTGGAACTCCGGCGATTGTTCAGTCGGTTTGGAACGCCAGAGACAATTGTATCCGACAACGGCAGTCAGTTTACGTCGTCGGCGTTCGCACACTTTTGTCGGGAGTATGGCATAACGCATATTCGCTCGCCGCCGTTTCATCCACAGTCGAACGGCCAAGCGGAACGCTTTGTTGACACTCTCAAGCGGGCACTTCAGAAGTCCAGGGGGGAGGGACCAACGGAAGAGATTTTGCAAAGGTTCCTGCTGGCATATCGAGCGACGCCAAACCCCAACTCACCTGATGGAGTATCACCAGCAGAGGCACTGCTCCGAAGGAGGCTCCGAACACCGCATGACACTATCCGGCCACAAACGAAGCAGGCTGGTCACCGCAACACCAGAATGGAGGAACAGTTCAACCGGCATCATGGAGCAACTGCGCGCGCATTCAGCGAAGGCCAGAGAGTGTTGGTTCGTGACTACAGCGGCAGACGCCCTACGTGGACCCCAGGACTCATCCTTCGCCGGCGCGGCAAAGTGCTCTACGAGATTCAAGTTGGTCCAGCCAAGTGGATACGCCACGCGAACCAGATCCGGCCGACAGATGCGCCGATCCTGCCCACAGGACCGAGTGATATGAGTCTAGAAATGCTTCTGGACACTTTTGAACTCGGCACCATCCCAGGAAGTCAATCAGTTGCTTCGTCAGAGGCCCAGCCTAAGCACGAATTACAACCGCGACGCTGGACAGACAGGATCCGCAAGCCAGTGAGGCCAATGCAAGTGAACCCCCGGCTTCGAAGCTACGTCAACAAACTTCAAGGGGGAGGTGTTAGGCAGGAATCCACGCGGATCCCACTATACCGCACGTCTTTAGGCGCTGCTACGGCCGAGAAGCCTGGCCCGCTCGAGGTTGGCCCAGAATTCGGGACGCTTGCCGGTCCGGCATCAAGACGAGATCTGATTGGTCAACAATCTGGACCCAACAGCCAATCATGACCCAGTATTGGCCGAATGCCGGTTGCCAATCGCGCATCCAGAACGCGTCAGAACTTCCAGAAGGTTATAGCCGCTTACGCTATATATACGAAGCGCTGTACAACTGTTCTTAACCTCGTTTTGGGCATTAACAGACCCTGTGCACCTTTGGAGGTTGTTTTGACGTGAACGCTAGCTTGGGAGGCTCAGACCGAGAACTAAGCTGAGTAAAATACCGTTACTACAAGGTTGAGTCGGGTGTCGTGCGATAGGGGTACACTAGTTACCGCCCCTCTCTCACTCTTGTGAAATTGAGAGTAATCCTTAAGCGTTATAACTCACTGCGGACTGTAAGTGATAATGTATTAGTGACCGTAGTGGTGATGATATCTTCTACAGAAAAACCATCAGGAAACGATTGTGTGAAATCTGTTCTTCATAGGGGGGTGTCGTTGTAGAGAAGTCATCATCATCACATAAAGCAGTAGGCCAGTAGTGAGAACTGGTGCTCCACTGTCATGCAATACTGACAACGCAGAAACCAGGGTAAGACCAGCGCTCTATAAGCTGGTAATGTTATCGGCCAGTAACGATACGCATTCGAGGGACCGCCTTCAAGCCAGCCAATATAGCTTTTTACTGCAAGCGGACTTGGGCTCCGATTACTTAGTGGGCAATGCCTGTTCAATTCAGGCAACAATTTGGTCTAAAACCACCGGCAACTTTGGAACCCAAGTGCCGCAGGGCCAATCGGATAATAGACCAATGTGTGAACGTATATGTGAACGTCCAATTAGCCATGAGAACGGCGGTAAACAATGTTGGTTGTGAACTAACAAAAACCTATAGTATTGCGGGAATAAATTGTTATTTCCATGGAGTGAAGCTATTGGGTAGACTTCTAGGAACACAACACAGGCATTGGATATTCACAAAAGAAAGCACACATCACGTGCACCTCGGTGTCGAGCACGTCAAAAAAGAAGCGCAGCACTGCAACACTACAAAGGATGTGAGTTCACCACAAACTAACCTAAAATCGAAAACAAACAAAAGATACGTGACCTTTCGAGTCAAACAACTGCAAACCTAGTGCTGTTTGCATGACTAACCTGTCGATGGGTGGGGTCATTCAAGACAGCGGGCAGGTTAACAGATGACTGAAGAACAGACCACCGAACAGGAGAACGGCGACCTAGGAAAGAGACAGAAGATAAAAATCTGAGGCTAAACAACTTGTGTTAGCGGGGACTAGATTGATACTACTAATGCATTGCTCCAGATAGCTGTGTGAAGTGAGGCTAACTCTTTGGTCCATCAGGCCATCAAAACACTCGGTTCTGCTCTTTTCAATGCTCACAAGTAGTATTCTGACGACAGCTGTCAACCATGGAGGCCTACTATTCGACCAGAGACTACAAATGACCTACCACTGTTATCACTGTCTAAACATGGACCACAAAAAAGCAGTCTATACTGAGGGGTTACTGAAGAAAAAGCAGTATCCTCAAGCCTGAAAGCAGAATCGAGGGGAGTACAGTTCGCAAAAAGCGTCAAAATATAGATGGATGGCAACCAAGGCACAGCAGGTCGCGATACACTTACTTGCTACTTTCCTTTCGTACTATGATAGACCAATATACAGCACAAGATAATTAAAATTAGCCGATCCATCTGGTTAAAAAGGAAACCATTAACCCTGTCAAGATGGTGACAGCATTCCGGGATGCGTTTTCGTTCCAGTTGTTGTTACGATCATCTCACTACTGGGGTTATGGGTGGGTTTCATTAAGGTCACGTGTGAATGCTAATGAAATGGATCCAAACAGCTCGATAGGGAGTGATTGAAAAGAAGACCGGTGAACTCAAATAGGAGATGGGCATACTGGTGGACAGGAATCCATAGCTACAAGGAAAAAGTGCACGGGATTTGGTCGAACGATCCTCGGTACTTCTTGCCCGTTTACACGACAAACCCACTTCGATCGAGGAAACGGGCTAGCTGGTAACCGTGACGCGAACCAAATTAGGCTTTGTGCGATGAGTATCGGTGCACACAAATGACTATTATCGTTCAACTGGCACCGTTTCGGTGCTTGATTGCCGTTCCACCAGAAGGAAGCACGAGGGCTGGAAAACTGCCGGGCTGCCCAAACTTAGACAGAGGAAGTCGAGAGGCAGAGATTCGAACCACGGATCTTCCGGTCAGTAAATTCGCGCTCTAACCACTGAGTCATCGAGTGCATAACGATCAGGGCTCAATAGAACCAATTCTCAAGAATCAGCGGAATAAAACAGATTCGACAAGAAGCATACAATGATCTTTTGTTTCCAGCAGCTTGTAACCGAGATTTTGACCTGCAAGTGAAGCCAATCGATGTTGAGAAGTCGAGAAGCACTGTACAACCGTTCCATTACCAGCAGTGCGCAACTCGCGAACCCCCGGGGAGATTCGACCTTGCAACTTCCAGGCTAGTAGTTGATAAGCTGTGTGATTAGCTCGCACTTAGACAGTCAACTGACAGTGAAAGTTTAACGAAACGCCAAGGAGCAAATTGTTTCGACTCAGGTAACTCAAAATGATATTAGAGGTCAGCTACAAGCTGTACCAAGAAAAGGGTCAAGTTTCCCAAACAGTCGAGTTAGTACCGCGGTGAGAACAGCTCACGGATTGAGACACGAGGCGCTGACCGAACCAAACCACCAGCCCGAATTGAGTTCGATTTTTTTTGGTTTACTCCAGTTTAGGCTTGGGCGACCCAGCAGTATCAGAGTTCCCATACTTCCTTCTGGTTGCATGACAAGTCTTCACAAGAAGGGTTGACGATTTAGATCGATTTGCTGCTAGGAATACAAAAGAACCCTCGAATCAAATCCTCACTAAAAAGTAGTGTGGAAAATAAATCTCCACATACAATTAAATGTCTGAGGCAATGATGCACGACAGTTACACGGACAATGGAATATCGCCCTTCTTTCGTACTCACTGGTCGAAACGGATACAAGCGAATTTTTTCCGGAGAGAACTAGAAAGACCAAACAAAAGCTTGTTCGCCTGAGTTCTATCCACGAAAACATAGGGGTGATTCCGTACCGTACTGAACTGTACTCTGAACCGTACTATGATAAAACGAGTCAACGTACCCAGTCTTCCGTTTTTAGCCATTTGCTGGCTGCGGTATAGCCGACTGAGGTGCTGCACATAGAGCCTGTCAGTAGCAAGTTAATGCACACCAATATTCGTCCTGCACTTGATCCTAACTTAGTAATTTTCCACAGATAAACGATCCTGATGTGAATTAGTCTTGGAGAGCTTTGAGCATTGGTACCAGCTGTGCTTTCCACGCATCTTTCTATGGATGTACGATAATACTGCTGTATAATTGTGTATGGCCTGCAGCGAATCAGAAGAGGTGACAACCACTTATCGGAGGTGTTATCATTGACGTTCGATCCAAAAGTTGACCTTAATTGTCTTCGCGCTTCACGGATGAATCTCCTCGGGGACCAGCGGCTTGCATAACATAATTCAGAACGGCTGTCAAAGTGCTGTGCCGGCGTGGGGCGAACATTCAATGTTGAGGGTGTACCAAGTGACCAGCGACGATTGATGGTCACGTGGGACCCACTACGGGAAAGATAAGCCCACAAAAATGTGGCAAACCCATCAAAAAAGGCAGCTGCTATACTTCGAAACTCCATCACTAGATACAATGCCACATACGACAAAAAAACCTTGACTGAAGCTCGCGTGCAAGAATTTATTCTGCATACAAAGGCCATACTAGGAGTACGATTCGTTTGTCCACTGGTAAGTCATCCTTCTGGGGGAGCGCTTTGTTAGGGGCATCACCCAAATCCCCACATAACCACCTTAATCCGACGGTAAAGTTCGCGAGGCTCAGATGAGAGAGGCACATTGTTCGCGGGGGGGAGGGGGGTAGAACCTGGAATCAGTTTGGAAATCGTTGCGGTGATTGATTTGGGGGAGGGGGGAAAACCTGGAATCAGTTTGGAAATCGTTGCGGTGATTGATTTGCCGAGCCTTGAGAACCATGTGGCATTGTATTACGATATGTACGAACAAATGCGTATCAAAAACCCCACGTCTAATGGGTTTAACAATGGCTATTAGAGTAAAACGGATCACTTTCAAGATCACACTTTGATCAGTCATCAATGAAAGTGCTGAAAAAACATCGCGCTGATCGATGAAATCATTAAAAAAACGCCATATGAGAAGGAAAAGTTGAGGCTCACCGTTCGCATGGATGGACTGTGGTTTTGCCATATCAGTGATTTCGGGCAGGAGATGAGAAGAAACCAAATGCTTTTCGTACTCCTTTTGACTAAGAAAACTGGACGGCGACAGAGAAGTACCGTTCACCGATGCCAGATCACTAAGTGATCTAGCAAGGCAAGTACCCGAGGGACCATAGCTGAAGAAGTGAGGTAAAGAAAGGTGGATAGTGGTCGTAAGGAAAACTAATTCATACTGGCGCATATGTGCCGATATGATGAATGGTTGTGCATCACACAGAAACCGGCAACACTTCGGGCGTATTCTATAAACACCAAGCGGGGATGGGCGCGAGAGAAACACGAGCGATAAAACTGGAGATCCCGGTTGACAAGTCATCACCAACAAACCGGCGCTTAAATCTCGACCAACCAGTCCATTGATTTTTCAAGTGTCTGACACGGTTTAGATGGGTGGAAGTTTTGGGGCACCCTATACGGTAACTCTCCGGAAAAGAGGTTATCTGTTCTCTCCTGCGGGGTAGCCTTCCTTAAGGGGGATTCTACATCAAACGATAGCTGACGTGGGGTGATGCTGTGGCCTTTCCAATATAGTTGCCTCACTGCTGGGGTCACCGCATTTGACCTAAGCATCTAGCCGACTATAGGCTCGCCTTGAAATAAAAGCACAATGATATAATACTACCACCAATAATAATGATAATAAAGCGTGGTGGTCTCCCCGAAAAGAGAACAACGAATTTAGGATCTCTGTTTAAGACGTTTTATAGTGGGGATGGCCTCCCTCGGGAGGATATCACCGGAAATGGGCAGAAAACTGAAGTCTTCTGTCAGACAACCAGGCGGAAAACACAGCAGAATCACACATTGAAAGAGCGGGGCACAAATACCCAACCAAACACTGCAGACGATTCTGGTCCTCGTCTTGATACAGAGAATACTTACCGTTTTGTCAGCACTGACGTGAAACACACTTTGTTCTATAGCCAAGTTTTCGAATACAATTCGGTGTGTCGCCCTCATCGAACATTGTTTAATCTCAGGCCTTGCAGCGAGATGTGGTGAACATTTACCTTCCGCAGCGAAGCCGAGCACATTAAGATATTTAGATATAGTTAACATTGAGGATAGTGAACAGATTTCCCTCCTTAATGGTGGGTCACTCAAAACTACCCCATTTCTAATCCAACACTTCCAGTGCCTAGCCGCCGTTTAGCCCAAAAGAAGCGCAAGGGCTAAGGTGATGTCAGGTTGTTCAAGTCGAGACAGGGGCGGACGAGAAATCTGGCTTCGGTTCGAGCCACAGACCTTCCGACAACTAAGATTGTGCCTTGATTACTCAGGTATCTCAAGCTCGTTTCAAACTGTCAGATGGTTGCAGGCAAAGTAAAGGCTATAATGACAGCACCCTTGTTAATTGCATGTAAAAACCTCTCTCAGACCCAGTTATTAGCACGTACTGCTATCAACCCATAACGGACGTTATAGCCCAAATTGGAGAATAAAAACAGAGTCAATTCGTTGAAAACGACAATGAACGATTAACCAGATCACTGCTGATATGTCTATTCGACTCTTCCAAAAATTAAGGGTGCAAAGAACTAAGAGAAGTGTATGAATAACTCTCCTACAGAAATTCATTGCTTCGAAGCGGGTGGACGAACAGCTTAAGTATGTTCACCAGTATTTGGCTGACTAAAAAATAACGCCGTTTAACTGCTACTGGCCTCATCCAAACAAATGCTCGATTGTACTACACATGGATGACAATCCTGATCGGTATTATGCATGACCGTGTGCGCACTGACCCTGACTACCAGTTGAAAATGAGCTCAGTGTTTTGCTCCACTGTTTCGCGTTATATGAAAAAACCAGGCCTGAGTTATTTGAGTCATTTGGGCAAAAGGGAGGTTCGGTAACCAAAGTTCATAGATTATTCTCTAGTAGCCTGTAGTTCAGCTGCGCAATGTAACGTACACAGTTAGTAACGATAATCACATACGAACTAAACTGAAACCATTGGACACAGCCAAATGTATTGTGCAAATAACTCACCAACAAATGTAAATCTTCCCATCAGAGGTCGCTTTGATAATCAAGTGCTTGAGTTTCAAGTGAGAAACGAACTCCTGAGGGGAGTTGAAAACATACGACTCCCTCGACTTGTCCAACAGACCGGCGGGCTTGAAATCATCTCCTGTCAAGCAGAACTGACAGCGAAATGAATAATTCATTCCACGTGTTCCCGAACAGTGATATAGGCGACATCAAAATCCACAAAGTGGCATGTGATCTGTAGATAAACCGGAGAGGAGGTATTCATGTGGAAGTGTCACTGAAAATACGTTGGCACTGAAAGCCAAAAAATGACAGAGACTCTTCAATTAAAAAAGGACCGAAACTCCTTGAATCGAAAGGAAAAAGTCAGAAGAGGAAGATACGTCGTTGAAGATAAGCAAACGACAAGCGACTCAGGACGAGTGTGCACCACGGTCACCCATAAAAACAGCGGTAGAGGAAATAACACTAAGCAAGGTGAAAATGAAGCTAAATGGACATCGGTGATGACCGAGGAGATAACATTCGGAGAGACAGTTACCAAAACAATGGACATCGTGACCGAGGAGATAACATTCGGAGAGACAGTTACCAAAACCACAAGTATGTGTCTACGAAGCGGCGCCTACGCTGATGGGTGGGGGTGTTGAAAAAGAAAAACCAGTCAACAGGATCCAACGAACTCTTGGAGTTAAGGAATACCAAGACTGAATTTCACTTATATATATCGCTTCTCTAAAAGTTGGTGAGATGTGACAATGTGGTTCACAAAGCCCCGTTCAGCTGTAGCATCCTTCCGGTGCCTAGCTGCCATGCCACCCGAAGGAATCACGAGGGCTGAAATACTGCCAGGTTGCCCAAGTCTAGACAGGGGAAGTCGAGAGACAGAGGTCGAGTTCGAACCACAGACCTACCGGTCAGTAAATTCGCGCTCTAACCGCTTGGGCCATCTCGCCCCCCCCCCCCATCTCGTTCACACACCCTCTAAGTGACGCGAAGAGTGTGGTTGCACAGGGGTGTGACGCTAATTCCTCTGTAATTGCCACAATTATTGCGAGTACTCTTTCTGGAAATGGACACGCGCGTCGACATGATTGGGACGGTCTCTTTCATCCACATATAGGCAATATGGTTGACAAGCCAAGAATGTAGATTACAGTTCAATCTGTGAACAAAGCGGGTGGTAGTTGGTCAGGACCGGCAGCTCAGTGACGTTTGAGAAACAAAACTTATTCGCTTATTTCCGAGATCATTAGTGGTTCCAAATAAACTAACTAAGGCTGCTTTGCGAGTCAAGAATACGGCTAAACAACCGCAGTGGCCAGTTGAGTTGTCCTTCAAAGTGTTCAAACAAACGACCCACGATCTACTCTTCCTTGGAGACAAGTGGGTCGTTCTTATAATTGTTTCGCTCACCAGAGGATTATTTTGGCCTTTTGCACGTATCGCCAGGAGCAGTTTACGTACATTCAGAGTTTCGTGCCTTTTCCATCCCTTCAGCATTCGGTACCCACCAGACTCTCCGATCCGCACCGATGCTCCTTTCACCTGAAGTCTGACAGTTCGTCGATCGGTATTGTACTCTCAACCAAGATGAAGAAGTCCAAGTTTCGGGCAATGTTAGTGTTGCTCGAGATCCAGTGCTTGAATCCCGTTGGCTGAACCATTCCATAGGCGCAGCGTCCAGTATCCTGGAGGTTTGCGGACAGTAAGAGTCAATATCAGAGGACGTTTTGTCCGAAATGGACTTCAGTGTCTGGTTCTAGTAAACCTGTTCTAAGTCAGGGTTTGGCAGCTTCTCGGTGATCAGACATAGTTAGTATCGGTTCGCTCAAGAGACACCCTTACATGTGTTGCCAAAGGAACTTCCAATGCCTTTTAGATTCGTGCATTGATTTGGTCAGCTAAAATTTCGTCGGAGCCAATTTAGCTACCGTGTGTAGAATTCTCCACAATTTAAGCGCTTCTCCTTGAGTTTTAAGAGACTGCACGTTCTCAACCATGACCCTACACTTTGAAGGTGCAGGGCGTATGCCGGAATGCTGGTAGGATGGTCAGTTGATTCAAAAGGGGTGTGTGTATCAGAGATAAAAGCGAACATTTGAACACTGGGGGTTTGCAAAACTCAGCAAATCACTGACGCTGAAGTTGAACAAGAACGAAGTGGACGTTCTTGTCAGACACCACTCCTTGCATATCACGCCTTCGCCATACACACTCCCAGAATTACACTAATATAAGGACAAGATTATTTTCACAAACTCCTGAGGTATAGTCTGTTGAGCAGGTGCAGCTAGGAGCACTGATCGACCGGTAGAATGGAATGCAAGCAACACAATGTCGGTCAGTCGCCCGTACATATGGCATTGCTATAAGATCTGACGTGGTTTGCAGATGTGGTTATCATAGCTTCCACCTGGTTCCAACTGCTACAGCTTCGATCATCGGAAAGTGGGAGAGCGAGGGAAATACAGACAGGTGTTGGAGGCGATGGCATGCTCAGTTAGTTCGGGAACTGGATAGCTGAGCATTGAAAGCAATAGATTTGATGTATGAGCGCCACTGATTGCGTAATTGGACCATTTCTGCTAGTGTCATTAACAATTGATGAGTTCCGGGGTCCCATCCAGGGAGGCGGCAGTTATCAAACCGGCTCTGTTTACCGATGAGCAGACTCATACTTAGTTGTCAGGTCATGCACTGTCCAACTCTCGGTCACTTCAACTGAGCACAGGGTTGGGTGAAAAGAGCTCTACGAGGAAGTCGGTCTTCTGGAATGTCGCAACCATGTCGCAACCAGCGTCACCCATGAAGCGTGAGTAATTGATCTATTGTGGGAGAGTTCCTTCCCCCTAGAACCATCTGGCGTATCTCAGCATTGCTAAACCCGATGTTCCCCTAGACGCCACCAATGGTTCAAGTACGCCGGTGGTCCAACACTGACATCTATCGTATGTCACCTGCGTGTAGACGTCACTTTTCTGATTCATAAAACAGTATGGGTCTCAATACCGCAGTTTAACCTCTGACAAACCTCAAGGGAAACCCTTACATGTGTTGCCAAAGGAACGTCCAATGCTTTTTAGATTCGTGCACTGATTTGGTCAGATAAAATTTCGTCGGAGCCAATTTAACTACCGTGTGTAGAATTCTCCACAATTTAACTTACGCTACGTCGGCGCCATAGGTGTCGGAGGTTGCCAAAAGCTGCCCCAGTCTTCCCGATTCGAGGAATAATCTCATCTCCTTAGTATCGGTTCGCTCAAGAGACACCCTTACATGTGTTGCCAAAGGAACTTCCAATGCCTTTTAGATTCGTGCATTGATTTGGTCAGCTAAAATTTCGTCGGAGCCAATTTAGCTACCGTGTGTAGAATTCTCCACAATTTAAGCGCTTCTCCTTGAGTTTTAAGAGACTGCACGTTCTCAACCATGACCCTACACTTTGAAGGTGCAGGGCGTATGCCGGAATGCTGGTAGGATGGTCAGTTGATTCAAAAGGGGTGTGTGTATCAGAGATAAAAGCGAACATTTGAACACTGGGGGTTTGCAAAACTCAGCAAATCACTGACGCTGAAGTTGAACAAGAACGAAGTGGACGTTCTTGTCAGACACCACTCCTTGCATATCACGCCTTCGCCATACACACTCCCAGAATTACACTAATATAAGGACAAGATTATTTTCACAAACTCCTGAGGTATAATCTGTTGAGCAGGTGCAGCTAGAAGCACTGATCGACCGGTAGAATGCAATGCAAGCAACACCACGACGGTCAGTCGCCCGTGCATATGGCGTTGCTATAAGATCTGACGTGGTTTGCAGATGTGGTTAACATAGCTTTCACCCGGTCAAAACCTCGTTTCATGACAACGGGTCAAGGTTTTGCGTGCCGCCGTAAGACGTCGAAGACTTCAATTCAATTCGATTTATCAGCTGTAAGCCACGTACCATGGGTACATTGGTTCCAGCTGCTAACCCTTTTTGAAAACTGAGATCACGTTCAAGCCACCCCACTCCACTGGTACTGTTTTCTGCAGTATGGATGTCAGACTGCTGTGCGAGAGCGAGGGAAATACAGCCAGGTGTTGGAGGCGATGGCATGCTCAGTTAGTTCGGGAACTGGATAGCTGAGCATTGAAAGCAATAGATTTGATGTATGAGCGCCACTGATTGCGTAATTGGACCATTTCTGCTAGTGTCATTCACCACCACCTTCTTTGAAGAGTGGGGCTACGGCCCATCCACGTGGTTGTGGTGAAGGAGACCAACTGAACTGAAGCGCATGCCACATCACTCAAGACGACCACTGAGGGACTGAACTGCCTATCCGTCTTCTTCGCATGTTGTTTTTGACAATTAACAATTGATGAGTTCCGGGGTCCCATCCAGGGAGGCGGCAGTTATCAAACCGGCTCTGTTTACCGATGAGCAGACTCATACTTAGTTGTCAGGTCATGCACTGTCCAACTCTCGGTCACTTCAACTGAGCACAGGGTTGGGTGAAAAGAGCTCTACGAGGCAGTCGGTCTTCTGGAATGCAAAGTACATGTCCCAACCAGCGTTACCCATGAAGCGTGAGTAATTGGTCTATTGTGGGAGTTCCTTCTCTCTAGAACCATCTGGCGTATCTCAGCATTGCTAAACCGATGTTCCCACTAGACGTCACCAATGGTTCAAGTACGCCGATGGTCCAACACTGACATCTATCGTATATCACCTGCGTGTAGACGCCACTTTTCTGATTCATAAAACAGTATGGGCCTCAATACCGCAGTTTAACCTCTGACAAACTTAAGCTACGTCGGCGCCATAGGTGTCGGAGGTTGCCAAAAGCTGCCCCGGCCTTCCCGATTCGAGGACTAATCCCATCTCCACCCAGCCCACTGGGAACCACACAAGTGCCCAAGTAAACAAATTTACCCACCACGTCGACTGGCTCGTACGCCCGTACGATATTTTAGCAGCATTTAGCACTTTACAGGTGTGAGGCGCATACCAAATCGCGCCACAGAGTTAGTTAGGTCAAGAGCAGCTTTCAGACCTAGAAAAACGACCAAAGTGGGACGTTTTTTCAAGAACGCGTCTCGGCCAAGGATGAAACTCAGGTAGCTACTCACAAACCGATCTCTCGTGATAATCGAACGACCTACCAAAAATAATGTCACGGAGCACCTTGGATGCGACGGATACCAGGTTGATGGCACGATGATTTTCGCATAACGTTCTTGTGCCCTTTTTGAAAACTGAGAACACAGTCAAGTCACCCCATTCCACT